TACGCACTGTGCTAAGTTTGTCTTGTTAATTCTTGTTGCTTATTTTCACTATTTCACTTTGATAAGCCAAATACAATCAAGCGCAGCTATTCCGCTTGCAATTGATCATGTGGTGTATCCGCCACTGGCAGGTAGCCACAGCATGGGACTAGATTAAATTCAAAAACTAGATTCTACAGTTTTTTCAGTATGAGGTAGCACCTGTGACACATATCAAATATGTACATACATACATACATACATATGTATGTATGTATTTGTTAAAATAATTTTATGTATTAAAATTAATTCAGAATATACTAAATAAAATGCTAAGCGTTAAGAAATTGGTAATATTTGGTCTTATCGTGAATTCAATGTGAACAAATATGTATTGCCAAAAATCATAAAGAAAACAAAAACAATTTTTCCCAATCTGTTTTTGTTTTGCCTGTTAACTTATCGAACGATTTCTTCAGTTCGAATATGGCTGATTATTAGGGTGATTGACTCGGTTTTTCCTGGCCGGGTTCCACAGTTTTTTTTCGGATGCCTACATGTCGGCCGCTGTGGTGTAGTGGTAAGCAGTGCGCGCTTCCACTCCACAGCACCTGGGTTCAAACCCTGGTCAAAGCAACATCGCAAAAAATATAGAAAAAAGGTTTTTTCTTAACAGCGGTCGTCCCTCGGCAGGCAATGGCAAACCTCCCGAGTGTATTTCTGCCATGAAAACCCGCTTCTCATAAAAATACGCCGTTCGGAGTCGGCGTAAACCTGTTGGTCCCTCCGCTTTGTGTGACAACATCAAGGCGCACGCCATAAATCGGAGGAGAAGCTCGGCCAAACACTAACATATGTGTAAGCGCCAATCTATTATTATTATTACATGTAGGCGTTTTTTTCAATCCTTGATTTTATAAATGCCGAATAAACCGGATTTTTTCATTTAATACAAATCTTGACATCTCAATAAAAGTTTTGAGTTCTTCGAAGTTTTCAAGGCTATTTCCAGTTTAAGGTAAATCCCTTTATTATTCTAAAATTATAACCCAGGCTTTTTGGTGATGGACAGAATTTCATATTTGATTCCAAGAAATGAATGTTTGGCGCTTTAACGTTTTCTACCGTTTTGGCCGAGCTTCTCCTCCAGTTCGTATTCTGCTTGTTGATGTTGTGACACAAATGAAGAGATTTACACTTTTACTCCGTCTTCGAAAAAGCTTTTTTATGGCAGAAGTACCATAGCCTGCCCAAGGGCGACCGCTATTTGAAAAAGCCAGAAATTCAACCATGGGAGTCCCGAGTGACAGTAGGCACATCTAATCACTCTTAATAGATTTATTGTAATTTTTAGTCATGACTACGTACCAACATAAGCATTTCCACTGTATGTAAAATAAAACCGTTTTATTCGTTTTTTTCTTTATCTTAAAATCGGGAACCGTTTTTTTCAAATTGTAATTTTTCGAATAAATCGAAGTCGAGTAATCGAATACCCTAATAGAAACCCGACAACCCGCTCCACCCCTCAATCCGCCACTGCATATGTATGCACGTATGTACATATGTAAAAATACTACTTCAATTGATTTTAGCTAAGAGTTTGGTGATTAGATTGTCTCAGTGATTTTGTTATGAATTCATTTAGGTTGTGGTGTTCATTCCTGTTTTGTTCGCAGATACTAAAATATCAGAAATGCGGTAAGTTATAATGATCATGTCAAAAATTCGAAAAGGTACTTAATGGGGTTTGCAGATTAGCGACGCATATATCATGTTGTTGTTGTTGTTGTTGTTGTTGTTGTTGTTGTTGTAGCGGCTTGCATAGCCCTGTCAAAAATCGGCTAGTCTTACAATCGGTGCCGTTAAGCTAAACTAACATTTAGCCCAGGGAACGTACAGTTTCGACAGGGTGGGACAAGAGGGAGAGGGGTATTAGTTTAGGTGGGTTGAGCGGGCATGAGAGGAGGTGGTTGGTATCGTGGGGAGAACCTTCACATACCAGACCGTGAATGAGCCAGAGTAAGCAGTTGAAGTTCACTATCAGCAACAGCTGCTGACTGTACTCCAATGACGATACCTACAGGACGGGAGTTTGTGTAGGTGGGAGGGTTTCCCTGTAAGTGCCCTTTATAGTGTGTTTATACAGTGCCAGATCAAATTGTTGTTGGGTGTATTTTTGTACCTCGTCCGTTATTTCGTAGAGATGCATTCTGAAGGGCCTAAGGGAAGGCTCCGCCTCTAGTAAGTGTCTGTTCGGAGGCTCATGTATTTAGCACCGTTGTCCTCTCTTACTTTGAGTATTTGCTCCTCCCTCTGTAGATGGAGCTCAGAATGCATCCTGTGGCTATGCTATTTAGGACAGGTCTGTAGCTTCGTCCGCTGTGTCCGGCTTGTCCCCGACGACCACAGGGCGCTACATGATCAGAACCGGCCGTTAAATTTCCTTGTATTCTGCCAACAACGTTTCTTTGTTTGCTCCCAAGTGCTGCCAGCGAACGATTTGAGAATCTTGTTGTAGTTCCGTACTTTAGTGGTAATTGCGAGAAACAGAGCAGACTGCCAAAGGTTACTCCGAGGATTTTTGTGTTTTCGGGGTTACAGTTAAGACAGAGTTATCTGAGTCATTATGGGTCCGAATTTTGGATAAACTAAAATACATTGGTATAAAAAATACTGAGCTTGACTGGTTTAGAAGATTTTTATGTAATCGTAGGCAACAAACAATAGTTAATTCAAAGATGTCTAGTAAGATAGCCGTAGACATCGGATTACCACAGGGCTCAGTTTTGGCACCCCTACTCTTTAATATATATATAAACGATATTAAAAGTTCTCTCAAACATTGTAAAATAAAACTCTTAGCGGATGATGCCTTGCTAACGATCAGTGATAGGGAATTACCAAATGCGATTGTCAAAATGCAAGAAGATCTTAATTCTTTGGCTGCGTTTCTTTATACATTCCGGATAAACCCATTTCACAACCAGAATAAACAGAATGCCATTGAAATATACGTTTACATATCATCAGGAACGTTCTAAAGAATAAGTAAACAAAATAGTTTATTCCAAACGTTCAGAATGAATAAAGAAATGCAGCCTTTGTATCAATGGCTGTGTTCAAATAAACTCAAACTGAATATGAAAAAGACTAACTTTATGGTATTTTCCAGAGCGGCAAATGCTGACTCCATAACAGGCTAACCTAATATTCGCGGCTTGCGTTTTGGTACGCATGCCGTCGAATTTGTTTTTTTGCGTCACCCGAAATTGACTTGCATGCGTTTGCATTTGATTTCATCGAGCGAAACGTCAAATAAAAATGTCACGCAGAACAAAAATTGGAAATTGAGTTAGCTTCATACGCACGCCGTTCAATTTCGGTTGATCTCATACAAGTTGCATGTGCATGAGAAATTTTTGACAATAATTTGGCGGCGTGCGTGAATATTAGGTTAGCCTGTAAGCCGTGAATTAAAAATCAAAGATGAAAATATCGAAGAGGTGAAAAGTGTCAAGTACCTAGGAATATACATAGCCAACAAACTAAAGTTTGATGAGCACGTTGAGTATACAGTCAACAAGATTGCTAAAAAAATTGGCAGCGGAATAGCTGCGCTTGATTGTAGTTGGCTTAGCAAAGTGAAATAGTGGAAAATAAGCAACAAGAATTAGCAACACAAACTTAGCACAGTGCGTAGGCAACTGGTTGAGTCAGTGGTGATCGTCGGTTCGAATCCTACTGAAAGAAGTCTGATGAGGAAATGTGGTGATTTTCGAAATAGCTATCACTTCTAAAATTTTTTCAAATTATTGCTGCTTTTCCACAATAAAGTTTTCACTAAAAACGGCCTAAAGCTCATAAAAATTGTTGAATATAATTGTTATAAGGCCATAAAAATAATAAAAACAAATAACTTAAGGACGAGCACACCTAAAAGTTAAACATTCTAATAATAGAAATATTAACAAAAACCAACAACCACATGATCAAGTGAATTGCAGCGGAATAGCTGCGCTTGATTGTAGTTGGCTTAGCAAAGTGAAATAGTGGAAAATAAGCAACAAGAATTAACAAGGCAAACTTAGCACAGTGCGTAGGCAACTGGTTGAGTCAGTGGTGATCGTCGGTTCGAATCCTACTGAAAGAAGTCTGATGAGGAAATGTGGTGATTTCCGAAATAGCTATCACTTCTACCATTTTTTCAAATTATTGTTGCTTTTCCACAATAAAGTTTTCACTAAAAACAGCCTCAAGCTCATAAAAATTTATGAATATAATTGTTATAAGGCCATAAAAATAACAAAAACAAATAACTAAAAACTTTTAAAGGAAATGCAACTCTTCTCCTTGCAGCAACTAGATTTACATATGTGTATGTTCGCAACCCTGTTTTGTGCAAAGCTTGCCCCGCTATTTTCTTTTTAAATTCAACAAAAATTATTCTTTTAATAGTAGTAAAGAAAAGCAAAATTTATATGGTGGCCCTTCAATGACCCCTTTTTTGCGACTTTCTGAAAATTTTCAACGGCAACACTGGTCCCGTGCGACAGTGATTAAAATTAAATTTAAAAAAGGTATAAATAATTTTTGGGTAAAATCAAAACCATTTTTAGGAAACATCAATGCACACCATTTTAAAACTAGTCACATTAAAATATTGCCTCAGGTTTCGCTGAAATCGGTGTTTGAATTGTTGGCCGCGAAAACCACTTCTGTTATGTCCCGTCTGAAATTATCTTGCAAACGAAAAATTGGCCAAAATCAACTTTATCACCACTTATAGGGCTAATTAAGAGCTACTGTCAAGATAAAAAAAAAGTTTTAGATTACGTATTTTTTCAGTTTGAATGTGTTCGATGGTCACGTGCGACATAATGGAAATGCCCATATTTATTTTCCATACCTATCAGATG